AACCTAAACTGGGGGCTCCTGACTGGCTCAGTTGGTAGGGTCTGTGACTCCTGATCTCAGGGTCATGGGTTCGAGCCTCACATTGAGTGCAGAGATTAGTAAAAATTAAAGTAAACTTAAAAACTGTTTTGGGGTAGGGCGCCTGGGTGGCTCATTGGATTAGACATGCAACTTAGGCTCAGGTCATCATCTCACAGTTCATGAGTTTGAGCCCCATGTCCGGCTCTATGCTGACAGCTCAGAGACAGGAGCCTGCTTCAGGTTCTGTGTCTCTGTGTCTCCCTCTCTCTCTGCTCCTCCCCTGCTCATGCTCTGTGTCAAAATTAAATAAACATTAAAAAAATTTTTAATAAAAAAATATTTTGGGGTGCCTGGGTGGCCCAGTTGGTTAAGCACCCAACTCGGTTTTGGCTCAGGTCATGATCTCACAATGATGAGATTAAGCCCCACATTGGGCTCTCCACTGACAACACAGAGCCTGCTTGGGGTTTTCTCTCTCCCTCTCTCTCTGCATCTCTCTCTCTCAAAATAAATAAATAAACTTTGAAAAATTAAAAAAAAAAACTACCTTAAGTAGCTATTACATTCATACCTTACAAACCAAAATATAGGGTGCCTGGGTGGCTCAATTGGTTAAGCATCTGACTTCGGCTCAGGCCACGACCTCATAGTTCATGAGTTCGAGCCCTACATCAGGCTTTGCACTGACAGTGCAGAGCCTGCTTGGAATTCTCTCTCCCTCTCTCTCTGCCCCTATCCTGCTTGCTCGCTCGCTCTCTGTCTCTCAAAACAAATAAATTTTATTAAAAATAGATATATAGAGATCTATATACTGAGCAATATAGAGAGAAGGGGTATACCTCTTAGTCCCCCCATTGACTCAGTTTCCACCCCACCCCCATTCATATTAGTTTATTACAACAATCCTTACAAAGTTTTTTAAGCACATGCAAATGAATATGAATATACATTTTTATTCTGATTCCTTAGTTACGTGAAAGGTAACGGGCTATCTGCTAGTCTGCACTTGGCTTCTCCTCCTTAAGAAGACGGCTGGGGAACGTCGCCATATGAATCGGTTTTTGTTGCCTTTGTCAACTGGGGGTCCATGGGGAAATCGGGCCTTCCAGAAAATGACTTGTGTGACCCATCTCAGTTCCACCAAGGATGGAGTGTAGCCTGCGCCCACCAGGAGCACGGAAAAAGTTATTTCCTTACAGAGGATGGATATATGGAAACATTAGGGCTTGATTCACCTGTAAAATTCCAATCCAGAAGGGCTGGCCTGTAGCCTTTTTTTGCGAAGGGCCTCACGTGTTTAAGTCATCCTAGGTATCTGCGATTGCCAACAGTGCAGCAGAGTAAAACCTTGCACACGCCTCATTTCGCTTGTGCGCGAATTTATCACGAAAGTGGAAATGGTGGCTCAGAGGGCACGTGCCTTGGTAACCTGAGACATAGCCCAGGTTTCTCTATTAGGTCTTTCTACTATGTTCCATATCCAGTGCACGAAAATAATAATAATAATAATCTCACTGGCAGGGGGCGTTATCAGATCCTTCGGCTTTTGCAGCATGCAGCAGAACTGTAGTTTTTTTACCTGGCGTTTCTTTTGGTCGGAAGACATTTGCCTGCTAGAAAGATCCCTGGCTGCTGGGTGGAGAAAGGAATTGAGATTGAGTGCAGAAGAGGCCGGCGAGGGGTGATGGTGCCCGTGCCAGTAGGCGGGCCGGGGCTCGGAGAGAAGTGGACACACGGCGGGGCTGGCCCAGGGGCCACCGGACCAGGGGGTGGGGAAGGTTGTGACTCCAGCGGCTGAGCAGATGGTGGGACCAGGGCACGCGGCTTCTGTGCTCGGGGCGTGGGGCACACAGAGGGATCTCTGCAGCCGGGCAGGCGCGTGTTGGCCGGCTGGGTAGGCTGTGGCCACCGGTGGGAGGAGGGAAGGGGGCCCGGAGGTCAGCCTGTGGCTCCCCTTCCTCCGTCCGCAGGCAGAAGCTGCATGAGGCAGATCTGGAGCTGCAGCGGAAGCGAGAGTATATTGAGGAGCTGGAGCCCCCCGCTGACAGCAGCAGTGAGTGGGCCTCAGCGGCTGCGTGGGTGGGGGGGGTGGCCAAGCTTGGCCGGGAGCTGAGGGGTCACCTCGCCCCCCCCCCCCCAGCAGCCCGGCGTATCGAGGAGCTGCAGCACAGCCTGCAGAAGAAGGACGCGGACCTGCGGGCCATGGAGGCGCGGTACCGCCGCTACGTGGACAAGGCACGCACGGTGAGGACACTGGGTGCTCCGTGGGCCTCCTGCCGAGGCTGTCGTGCCTCCCGCCAGCGTGCACCCCTGTGCCCTCCACTTCCGCCCTTGTCACACCCCATCGTATCGCAGACTCCTGCACCACCGCCATGAGCCGTCACCCTGAACACGGCCCGACACATCCAGGGGCCTGAAAGGCCAAGGCCACCCTGGCTGTGTCTTCCCCGACCCCTAGGTCATACAGACCCTGGAACCCAAACAGCGGCCACCCGGAGGTGCACCCCCAGAACTTCACACCCTGAGGACGCAGCTCCGGGAGCGGGACGTCCGCATCCGACACCTGGAGGTGGGTGTCCTCATCCCTTCTCGCTGTTGCTGCCCACCCCGCCCGCCCCCCACCCCCACCCCAGCATATCCGGGCCCTTGACTCTTGCCTGTTTGGCAGATGGACTTTGAGAAGAGTCGAAGCCAGCGGGAGCAGGAAGAAAAGCTGCTCATCAGTGCCTGGTACAATATGGTGAGTGCTCGTCCCCACGGCCGGAGTACTAGGGTGTGCCGTGGGCTCACTCGACCCCAACCGTGCCCCCTTCCTCCCTCCAGGGCATGGCTCTGCAGCAGCGAGCTGGGGAGGAGCGGGCACCTGCCCATGCCCAGTCATTTCTGGCACAGCAGCGGCTGGCCACCAACACTCGCCGTGGCCCGCTGGGACGTCTAGCATCCCTGAACATGCGTTCCACTGACAAACACTGATGGACCTCAGGATCCTGCCCCTGCCCAGCCAGTCAGGGCTCAGCGCCCCCTGGGTCCCCTCACCTCACACGAGGCCCAGCATCGGGAAGGCCTCAGTCAGCTGCTTGAGAGTCTGGAGGTCATGACTTCTGCCCTTTGTTCCCTCAGCCGGGGCAAGAGTGCAGGATAGGGCAGGAGGCAGGGATAGGCCTGTTCTTTTTAGCAATGTGATTCTTATCCTTGATTTTCAACCTGGGGTTAATGAGATGCCAGGGGAGAGAGTGATTTTATATTTGGGAAGACAAATAATAAACATTTTCAATCTGCCCTGGCCGGACTCTGGGCACTGAGGGGAGGGAGAGAAGATGGGCCAGGGACTCAAATCATTGCTTTTAGAAAGGCCTGGCTTGTGTTCTTCCTAAAGCACGCGTGACGGATAGTACACACGGGGAGGTGAGAGTCATGTTTGTGTCTGTGTAACTGCAGGTGTGGTAGTTTTTCAGGAAGCTTCGGACAAAAGTCCCTGCCTTATGAAGCTGTCATTTCTAATGAAGGGAGACACACAATAAACAAAATAGATGAAGGGAAAGTTTGATGTGAGGAGTGCCGCAGAGAAAAATACAGCAGACAGAAGTGATGGGATGGAGGATGTGGATTTGGGAGGTGGTGGTTTTAAGTAGAAGTCCCACAGAAGAGGCCTTACCAAGGAAGTGAGATAATTTAAGTAGCGACCTAAAGGAGGTGAGAGAGGGGCCATGTAGGTATCTGGGAAAGAATGACCCAGGTAGAGGGAACAGCACATGCATGAGGCTCTGAGATGAGGCCTTGCTTGGTGAGAAGGCCAGTGTGGAGTGAATGAGGGAAAGGGAAAAGATGTGAGGGCAGGGAGGACTTTAGCTTTTATTCTAAGGGAGATGGGAGCCATGGAGGACTCTAAGGGAAGGAGGGACATTACGTGACTCAGGTGGTCACAGGGTCTCGGGCTGCTGTGGAAGAAACAGCCTGGGGGGTGGGGGTTAGGGCCAGAGCTGGGAGACCAGGGCAGAGAGATCAGTGGTCTAGGTGGGTAGGTGGGTGACACTGGGGGCTCTGGCTAAGGAGGGGGTCCTAGAAGAATGGGAAATGGTTGGATTGCGGATACAGTTGGAAGGCCGAGCTGATAGGATTTGCTGCTGGGTTGACGGGTGGGGGGAGTAAGAGAAAGAGTTGAAGAGGGCTCTTTTTTAATGTTTATTTTTGAAAGAGAGAGCATGAGTGGGGAAGGGCCAGAGAGAGAGAGAGAGGGGAACACAGGGTCAGAAGTGGGTTCCACACTGACGGCAGAGAGCCCAATACCGGGCTCAAACTCTCGAACCATGAGATCCTGGTCTAAGCCGAAGTTGGACACTCAACCGATAGAGCCACCCAGGTGCCCCATGACTGGAGTTCTAAATTCAGGGGTCATCAGCATAGGACTGAATTAAGACCTGGGCTCTGAAGGGATATCTGAGAATGCAGGGACTTGGGGCAGAGGTGGCCTGGGGAATCATAAAACAGGAGTGGCAAGAAGGCTGTGGTCTTAGGACTGCCTGGTACGTTAATGAATGAGTAAAGGCATGGACACTGATGGGAGCATTTCGAGGGCAGGGGGTGACCAAAGAATCTGGAAGAATTCTCAACTCTTATTTAGCCTAATACCTGGCAGGAAAAGTCAGGCTAATAGTGTTCGGTCAAAACCACTAACATTTTATTGAGCACCTATTATGCACCAACACTTTGAAGCCATCATTTCATTTCATCCCCATAACTCAGTGAGGTAGGCACTCACATCTCCATTTTAAGGAAAGAATAAAGGCAGGGCAGGCTGATCGAGGCCTCTCAGGCAGGGGAGGGAGGGAAGCAGAACTGGGGGGAAGGATGAACTGTTCAAATAAGCTGGCCCAGTGCCTGGCCCACACGAGGCATTCCAAAACCTAGGGTCAGAGGTGAAGACTGGCGCGCAGGAAGCGGGAACCCGTCAAAGTCGGATAGGTGGAGTCCACATGTGGCTTACGCAGACCCAGACTGCTGCCTGCGTGCCCTGTCGGGGTTTGTGTCCCTGTCCTTGGGGATCCAGTGCCTGCGGATCTCAGGCCAGACTCTCCTCCTCCTCGCCAATGGGGCTGGGCAGCCAGGGTGGAGCCGGTCCCCGGGGCGCCGGCATAGGCACAGTGGTGAAGGGCTCGGCGGGCCCGGGGATGGGCAGTTCCGGGCCAGGGGGGACCTCCGACTCCGGCTCCCGCAAGCCGGTGTCGAGCAGCGGGTCCCCGCAACCGCATTCCGGGGCCGCGCCGTCGGGGGCGCCTGCGCACGCGCAGCTGGCGGCCGTGGACGTTTCCGACACGCAGCTGTTCTTGCGGCGCAGCAAGGACAGGCGCCGGCCCAGCAGGCCTCCTGCGGCCATGCCCGCACCTACCGGCAGGAGGCGCTGCAAAAAGTCACCATGTGCCTCGCCCAGCGGCGCGTCCACGCCGTCCAGCCTTTGGAACTGCATGTCCTCTTTGGCCAGCCTGTCGAACAGTGGATCAGCGTTGCCACCTCGCTCCTCTCCTGCACTGACAAAGCTGAGACGCGGGCACGCTGCTCTTCCTGCCTCCACCCACCCCTTCGTCGCACTTATCCCCAAAAGACCTCGGCCCTGTACCAGAGCGCCTGGTTTTAGCCTCTGGCTTTGGCTAAGCTCGAATTTAGGTCTTAAAGCCTCAGTTGTGACTGCCGCGTCTCTGGCCCAGCCTCTGGCCGCCAGTCCTGTCCTCATAGACCTTAGCCCTTAGCTCGGCCCCCAATTAGTGGCGGGGTCCCAGACCTTGACCCAATTCCCTGCCTCCTGCCCCCATCCTAGTCCTCACAGACTTTAGGTCTTAGCCCCGAATCTCCAAGCTTAGCCTTTAGCCCTGTCCTGGCATCCCAGAGCCCCTTCGATCAGATCCTCCCCGCAGAGCCATAGGCCCCGCCTCCAAGAGGCCCCCCACCCGTCCAGCTGGCTCACGTGATATCAAAGGTGGAGCCCTGGAAGGAGGGCTGTTGCAGCAGGAACGCGGTGGCTGCAGTATAGGGGGCTCGAGCCTCGGCTGCGTCCCAGTACAAATCCTTCTCCAGCATGGCCAGGTCGTCGTACATCTCGTCCACGGCCAGCATTGACACCTGTGGGCGCCGACATGCGGGGGCAAAGCGCGGGCACCTCCGGGTGGACCCCTCTCCCCGCCCCCAGGATGCGTTAGGACTGTGGTGACCAAAGAAAGAAGGCCGGTTCAGGGTCCGGGCCG